GGAAAGCAACATTATCCCGTAAACACAACAATATTAAACATGGCGCCACACCCGATCAGCCATGACTCTTACGGGAGACCTACTATGACCTTTTATGGGAGACGGAGCAGGACTCTCGAATCGTCACGATGCGGTTCGAGAACTGTGTTTCTTCAAATTTAAAAGATTTCCCGTGGCAGGAAGTGCGCAGTCCGTATAGATAAATTCCCCCGGCCCTACTGGACCCCCCGGGTCCAGGGGATCGCTAGCACGAACGTGCCGGAAGTTTTCCCGTGATCTATTGGCCGAGTTTTCGCGGTTGCGGAAGCGCCCCCGGAATTTAACGAGCCGCTCAAAACGAATATTTTGTTCTCCCAGGCATCATCCCTACCGCGGAAGATACCGGCGAACCATCCCTCCCCCAGCCCCTCGAAATACTCGGTGGGTAATTAAAGTTTTCTAATTCGCCAGATAAATCGGCGATCCACGATTATAAAAGTCAGGGCGGGACGCGATTTAGGGCGGTCGTTCCGAAACTTTCCGACCTCACGTTCTTATGCGTTCGCAATTTTGCGCGAACGCCCACGGACTGCGATTCCGTGTTCTTCACTATGATTCGGCTTCTTCCACTTCTCCCTCTCCCCCCTTGGTTTTTTACATTTTCCTCTCTCTTGGATCGCGGCTCAAAGGCTTTCGAAGACATTCAAAGGGGGATGAAATATTTTCTTGCCGGGCCGGGGCGGTGTATCGAATTTTTGTTTTCCGCCTCCAGTCAGCCGTTCGAGCCGTTCGCCCCCCGCGGGCCGTCCATCCAATATACCGGCAATGTGTCTGAAAAAATGAAGCCCTTGAAAAAAAAACCGACAGGATGGAAACCGACGGATAATACCCGGAACCTATACGGATAATCCTGAAAGCAGTGATATCATCAGAACGACGCGGTCGCGCAATAAAAACCACGGACGCGGGTGGCTGGGGCTCTATCGCGAGCGCTATAAATAGCGGCCGTATCCATAAGTAATATCCTTTTTCGAGCGATCGCATTCGAGTTGCTCGTATCGCGGCCCGGGCTCGATACGATATTTTAAGCCGCTGGTAATCCGATTCCTCCAAGACCGATCGAAGGATCACCAACCGCAAACTCGGCGTGCCCGATTATTCAATTAACCTGCCGGCCGCGAAAAAGTGCACCGTTGCCGTAATGCGTCACGGTCTGTCCAATTCGAATCACGCGTGTGCGATACTACAATTAAATGTCAATTCTCTTCTATACGAATCCGTTCGTTTGTAGTCGTTCCATTCTTAACTATGTAGGCTGAATCATTTTTCGTTGAAATACAGTAATGTCTCTCTAATTGACGCTCAGATTGTGCAGAAAAATGGTCAATTTGGGAAGAGGAGATGCGATTATTCGAGTCTCGCGGCTCTCGTTTTTATAATTGTTGACAATCGGTGACCATAAAAAACGTGCCACAAGGCTCGTATAATCGCATCTCCTCTTCCCAAATTGTCCATTTTTGTGGACAATCCGAGCGTCAATTAGGGAGACATTACTGTATCTCCTGCTTTTTTAACGGCACATAGAGAAGGTTATTTTCTTCAAAGCCGTGCTTTCTGATATTTGTCACCCTTTCAAATTGGATCACGCGGATCACGTTGGATCAACGCAACGTTACAGTCAATGAAAATACAAAAACCAGATTTAACCCTTTGCACCTGTTTAACCCGATGCGCATGACCGAATTTCATGTAAATGAAATTGTATTGCGATTCGAACAACGGTTAAATTATTAACAGTCTTTAAAATATAATCATATTTGACAATGTAAAAATTATTTCAACAGCTTTTAGTGATGTCTCAGGATCATCATTGGAATGCAAAGAGTTAATAAATCGATCTTCGAACGAGCTTCAAGAGAGTTATTCTTCCAAAAGCATAACAGAGCATGTGAACAGAATGTTTCATTTTTCACTATGGCCCAAAAGATTATGTGAAAGTTAAATATAATTTGATGTAGACAGTTAAGAAACTCGGATGAAAATGGTTCTAAAATTCAATTTGCTGTCGACGTGATAGTATAGCATAGTGTAGCGTAGTATAATACAGTATAATGTGGTATAGTATAGACCCACGCTGTCGGAGCTCACAGTGGAAACATCAGGGCGTCTTCGTATTTTCGGCGAATCGAGGGGCGACCACCTGGCCGAGCCGGGAGTGCGGTCTTTGTTTAATGAATTACCCTTCTCGACGCGGCGTTAGATTAAATCTGAAGCAAGCCGGTGGGCGTGAGGGCGGTTCAAGTAAATTGATACAAACGACACGCTGCCCACCATCGCTGATCTCCCCCTTTCTCTTCTTTCCCGGCGGGTTTCGCTCTTTTCCTCCTTTTTTCCTCGCTTCTTACCGCGCCTGCCTTCGTCCCACCCCCGCTCGCCGGCCGATTCGATCGGAGAAAGGTGTTCGAAGTTATTTCACCGTCGTATCCCGCCGATCAAAATGCCGAGAGGCGCGGGAATTAATCGCGGAAGTACTTCTGTTCCGTCAAACGTCAGCCCGACACGCCCTGATAAGTGTGCCCTCTGCAAATTGAAATTGAGGATCGCCTTGTGCCTTTTCCGGCTAGGAGCGGTTCCGGAAAACATTCGTTCCGATGATCCTGTTATAGCAGGCGGTTTCGTATCGAGCCGGCGCGGACCGGAGTCTTTAAATATTAATTAACGCGTTCGTTGCCGGCTGGTCCAAGTTTGGACACGGAAGAAACGATGAGCTTCTGCGAACAATAATAAACTCGCGCCTTTTAATCCGACGCGCCAAGAGAGAATGGTTATTCTTTTGCTAGCAACTTTCTTAGAGTTTCTTCGGAGACTGAGTAAATTCTTCGTGCAACCCGTGCCGCAACTTTGTTATCGGCGAGAGAGCCGCATTTGTCAGTTTAACCCTGCCGCATTATTTTGTCTTTTAAATTACGAAATGACACACCGGGATTTTTTTTTAAATCGAGTTAAGGAAACTTAATAGTTGCAATTGTTTTGCAATAGCGAAAATTGACGTGTTGAATGTTTTATCGGGGTCATGAGAGACCCGGAGATACCATTGTAGGATTAACCCGCCATATATTATATTATATATTATATAATAATAATAAGTATGTATATATGTATATTACGTATAATTTATTATTATTATATAATATATATTATATAATTTATTATTATATATATTATATCTCTTTATTAGAATAAGTTTAATATAATAGCATAATCTAATTAATACAATATGAACATGAAAGGTAGACTTAAAGTTCGACATTTTAAAATCTACTTTCACGACTAAACCGTCAACATAAAACTGTTTGAACAAATTTTATCCAGTTCTCCGTCTCGTTTCAACGCGATGCATGAAAGAAATTTTCGATCAACACTAATTTCGTTAACTAAATCCACGAAAATCTATATCCCTGCGAAGATCCAGAGTTCAACCACTATAAAAGGAATTCCATGCTACACAAACTCACTCTCGAGCACTGTGGTCACACCATGTGGCTTCCCCCATAGTTTCAAGCTTGCTGAACAGTTTATCCCTCGAACACCGTACCTCGGATCTATTTTGACCCACCTTTTCATCGCTCAACTCTTCATGCTCGAGTCAAATGTTTACTTATTCCTATCAATCCTAGAAGAAGAGAAATACAAATAAATATGATTCTAAAATACAATTTGTTGTATTTGTATGTATCTTCAGCGAAACGCGGCCGGGACCACCTGGTCGCGTCTTTTTCTTTTAATGAATTATGCTTCTCGATGGAGCGAGTCCAGAAAACATATTCAGAAAAATTGATAGGCGCTCTCGAAGCTGTATCGTGCAAAGTCGAATGGCACAGGGGGGCGGGACTACAAAAAATCGGTGGAGCCATAACGACGGGACGTATCGGAATCACGAGAACTTCTGGTGTTGCATTTTCCGCGCGACAGCCATGGCCGCGTCGAGGAATAATGTACTTCCGGCGACGCGTAGGTCCGTCGGGGAAGTTCTATCACCGGGAACGGGCTCGTCGAATCGTCCGATCAGCTTTTTTTTTCCTCTGGAACCGCGAGCGCGTATCTCCCGATCCAATGTAAACTTGCGGGATGATTTACGCGCGACGCGGCTCGGTTTGTTTTTCGGTGCTGTTTATTGCGGGGGTGGTCGGCGAGGACGGGGCAGAGAAAGGGAGAGAAGGAGAGGGAGCGAGGGAGATAAAGGGAAGGGTGGTCGGCAGAGAGCCACGTCGGGACCGGGAACAGTATTCGAGTATTCTCCCTACGGTTTTTCCACGGGGATCGGGTAATGGCGTTCCATCGACGTGGCCCCGGCGCGGAGCGCGACTTATTTATTCGCTTCGCGGCTCGTTGAGCTCCGGCGTTACCCTTCCCCGCCGGCTCCGGCAGCCACTAAATTAATTTTGGACAGGGTGGATGCCGGTCGGGCACGGGGAGCAACAAATTCCTTCCGACACAGTCAATGAGATGCGGCAAGTTGCCTGCGCCACGGTACCTAGGAGAGATTATCCTAAGAAAACTTTCCGGGGGCGTTCCCCCCCTCTCGTACCGTCGCGCCGGTATCCGGGCGTTACTGCAGTTAAACAATCTACAAAATTGAAATAATATGCAGATGTAATTTCGAGTAACTTTATATCGCTGTCCGCCCCCGCGCCCTCCGAGTGTCCCAGAGCGCCGGAACTTCCTGACGAACCTCGATACTTGGAGGTCCCGACGCGACATTCGAGGCATCCGCACCGGAAACGGCCGGATACGCTCTTTTCGGAGAAGAAGTCGCCGAGCGAGAACGAGCTTCTTACGGGCACCAAAGAAAATTAGCTTTTTTTACGGCCGGCGACCGCGTCGCTGCTCGGGGACTAATATTTGCGTTTATTAAAAGTTCCGTAATTGCGAGACTGATCTAATTCTGGATCGGGGTGCTAGTTACCTCGGTAAATAAGCGAACGGAATTGTTTATGCTCGGGAATTTTCTAGGAATCAAGAGCAGTCCGCTCGTTATCGCCCATTGTGTCTATTTAGGCGCGAGAAGATGGAGGAAGACTTTTTCTACGGGCTGTTCTGCAACGAAAACTGAGGGTAACTGAGACTTTTTCATTCAAAATGGATCTACATTGTTTCTTTTTTTTATTTCGTTTCAGATACGAATATTATACAGGTTTGTACAAGATAAGATGACACAAACTGTTTATTAAGGATGTAATAGAAAAATGTTGACTTCAATGCTCTTTTGTAAACAAAGTCAATCGGGCTTGATATATAATAGAAGTTTATACCATTTTTTATACTAGTCCCAAATGTGTTTAACTGCTTGCACTATGATTTCTAACACAGCTATATTAATTATTGCGTGTCACACACACTTGCAACCTATACATCAGTGTTTAAATTTTGATAATAGAAGTGTAAAGATTGATTTCGATATAATAGACGTGATTAATGCCCATATTTAATAAATCGCGATAAAAATCTCCATAGCAAATGTGACACGATATAATAAATAATGAAATTTTTACAGATTTTCACTATCTTGGAAAGCAGAAAACCTCGGTAAGAAATGCTTCTCGATGTTAAACGTCATTGAACATTACAGAAAATTGTTAACGTTGACTCAAAGATTAAAGCAAAAGTACTAGAAGAAATATGTACCACTTTAATACTTTGACCACCATGTCACTCGTATTTGGATGACGGAATTATCTGTTCAGAATTAATGAAAATTAATTTCTACGCCAATCTATCACATCTTCATGATTTAATAACCTTCAGTAAAGCGTAAAAACGACTTTCCAATTTTACTTTGATCGAACAAAATACTTGCATTGCACGAAATATTCGCGGCGGTTGGCGCGGCAGTGAAAGTGTTAAAGAGCAGGTACAACTGGTGGATACACGAGGCAGTTACAGAGATGCGATTTTTCTTGGATGCAGACGCGAGGCAAGAACGCCTATTACCATCCGGCAGGGAGCGATAAACTTTCTTTTTGCCTGGGCAGTTCCACGAAAGCGTCGGCCTCGGTCGGAAAAGGGGATGATCGCCGAGGACTATGGTTAGCCCGAACGGGGCTAACATAACTCATTACTCGGTGTTTCTTGCACGCCGGAATTCCATTCCCGCTACAATTATCGTTGTCCAAGAAAATCGTGGCCATCCGGCGGCGCGGCGCGACGAACTCGGTATTAGGAATTCTTGCTCGACATCCATCGTCCATAAGACTTGTAATAACGGAGTCACGAGTGTCGTGGGAGGCGTGGGCGTCTGTAAGCTCGCCTGTGCAAGCTCGCGTACGTCCACTCGCGAAAATGTCCGGTATGCGGGCTCGTATATCGTGCACGGTCCATCGCGGCTTCCGAAATGCCGAGGATACTCGTGTCGCGCAGACACTCCCGAGCCAAAGAAGAACTAATATCGATCCCGAGTCATCCATCATGGCTCACTCTATTAAACCAGCGTACCCCATTTTCCCTCTGACCCCCTTTTCGCAATCACTTTACCCGTCCTATTCGACGCCGTTCCAGAGCACCCTTCTTGCCCGTCTTATCCCATCCTTCTCAAGCCCCAAACGCGACGCACCCCTTCGATCCTGCACCCCGTCGAACCCCACTTTCCGAGCCTCCTTTACCAACCATCGTAGCCAGGCATCGCGGTTTTTCCCGAAACCATCGCCGCTTCTGACTGATACTCCCGGCGAATCTCTATCCTCAGACAGTTTTTCGAGAAGCGCCTCTTAAAGTCGTCCCTGCTCGCTAGAAATCCCGGATTCCTGCCGGGACGCGAGGGAACGATAAGGACAGCTCTGACGGATGCTAGAGGAATGTCTTGGGCGGGATCTACAACGGGGCTAATTACGAGCCCCTTCTTCCCGCGACCAGAAAAGGGCGTTCTTGGTTGATGGCCGCGGTACGAGGCCTTCGCAACTGCACACTGGGCCAGTGGGCTGACGGTGTGTTGTAGCATTCGTAGGACTTGGATACTTTGTCCGATGAGACAGAACTAGGTTTGCATCAGTTGCGAGATACTCGAACCGAAACGAAAATCTGCTTCTTCCTCTAACGATTTTAACAGTAAATCTTCCATGGCGGTCAAAGCGACCGGTCTCGCATTTTTTTTTAAATTGTTGCAATTATCAAGACTCTTTCTCGAGAAACGATTTAATAAATCCCTTTATTCTAGCTTACGTTGTAACAAAACTGACAAAACGTCAAGATACATTTAGCCTTGTCATTTGTATAAGTTAAGAGACGCTTTCAGTGCTTGGTAGATTTAGTATGAACACATTATTGACTGAAAAGGCCATATGACTTCTTTTGATAGCTATTTGTAATAAATGTTGCGTCCAACTCCACGGAGTTGCCTCGTATAACAGCCCATCATACTCTTATAGCCTATCGTATGTTCAAAGTTTCCAATGAATTCCTCGTGTTATAAAAAAGTTCTTCATACGTGAATTAACCATACGTGGATTCTTTTTTGTTCGCTTCAAGAAAAAATCGTCGGCAATACGCGCCAGTTTCTACAAAAATCTTCCGCTCAATAATGTGTTAATAAATCGAGAATACGTCGATTTTCCTGAATTCTTTAAATCTTACTTCTATTCTAGATTGCAGCTACTCATTTTTCTCGCAAATGCATAAAACTCGCAGTCTAGTCATAAGGCACGTTCAAATGATTTATTCAGCCATAAAGCACCTAAAAGTAGAATTCGTTGCGAGTAGACGTCGTCAAGAAGAATTTAGCGAAGAGAATTTCAGACGTCGCCAGATCACCAGGCTGAAAAATTTTAGAATATCAACGTAGTTTAGTTAATGAAATCGTAACTGCATATTCTCTCAATCGTTTTAAATCCTGAAAGTTTCGACTGTTAAGTATTTGGTCCGAAAAGCTGGCCAAAGCTATTTCATTCGTTTTTACGAGATCGAAAGTATTTGAGAATGAAATAAATTTTGTTTGTTTATATTATTTTACTCTAACACAAGCTTTCTTTCGTCGTTTTGAGTTGTCCACCTTTTATCTCACGTTTCTCTAAAACAATTAAAAACGGTTAGGAATTCTACACGAATTGTTCGAAAGAAAATATATTTCACTGAATTACTAATATTTTAGCATCACTAAGAAACGCACAGAAATTAAAATATTTACTTACCTGAAAAATCGTCTGCAAAGAAAAAAGTTGGCGTAATTTCTTTGCGACATTGCAAGTGTGAATCAAACTTGAATTAGTGAATCAAATAATAATGTGAATCAACTATCGCGTAAAGCAAAAAGTTCACATTTCTCACGAGACTTTTTAAATTGACTTTTGGCTAGATTTTGAGGCCGAAATCTCCGCGGCGCGTTGTCAAGGAACCCGAGCAGCCTGTATCTTTCGAACGCAAGAACCGTCGAAGCCGAGATTTTCCGTTTGGTGTCCTGCTTCGAGGAACGAGTCGCAACCGGCACTCGCAAGAATATCCGAAGGCAATTTTCTCGGCAGTTCGAATTCCGTGGCAGTTAAACGCTCGAAGAAGCGGAGCGGACCGCCTCCGATGGCGCGCTGGAAAAAATTGAGGTAGATAGATCGCGGGCTTTTTCATAAACTGTTGGGACGCCGTAAATTTAAAGGGTATCCGGTATCAGGCGGATTTATCTCAGTCACGACGCGTCGCGGCCGCCTCTGCAATCAAAGAACCGAAGATAAAATGCAAGCCCGAAAGCCGATTACCCTATCCCGGCCTGCCCCCGGTGCAATTTTCTTGGGGATCGTAGAACCCGCGAGCTCATCGGCGTCATTAATACCAATATATCTGCATAAACCCGGTAATGACCGAGCTAAATTCCCGGACAGAGGGGTCGTCGCGCCCTTCTTCCCAGGCATCCATTTTTCTCTTGCCGATACCGGAGCCAATTAATTTCTTAGAACGCCCTCTCAATCCAAAGCCGTGAGCCGTGTCTTCGGGATCGATGACGACGGAAAGTTGCATGGTCACGCGTTGACGATCCGTCGACGTTGCTCGAACAACGACGTACAGCGACACTTTTTCTCGACCAGTTAGCCGAACTGGGATATTCGAATGATGTAACAGCAAACAGCTGCTGTAGACACGTGATGTGTAAATTTCGGAGCATCAAGTGCCATTTGAAATTGTCAAATATCGTTCATGATTGCTGAGATATATCTACTATGGTTACTTGTGAATATGAACGTTATTCGTGTCTTCAAAATTGGAACAAAATTTGATTCTTCTGTTATCAAAATCTGGGAATGGAAGTAGATCAGGACATGTGCAAGAAGCAGAAATTGTTCCTTTCGATTAGAGAAATTATTAAGGAAGGGTTAAAGAGAGTAAAATTCATCATCGATGAAACCATTTGCAGAACCATTTTACCATTAACCTTTTTACCTTTCTCGTCTGCGACATATTTTCAATTTTACAAATTCCTGAGACATTCAAAAACTTATTCTGGTAAATAAAATTGATGCCATTTTGTAGTATCAAGTCTCCTCCATTCAGCGAGCAGAAAAGTATTGAGCTTCGACTTTTCTGCGCCATTCTATGACTGTTTGAATCGAAAGGGTTCCGCGACGGTTGAACATTCCACTTCACGGAATTCAATAATGTCCGATCTCTCTTCTCGAATTTTATATTTTTGATAACATATACAAATTCAGTAACCGCATAAACGTAAGAGTGCCGATTTCCCTAGAAATCGTATGAAATTATGAATTGTGGGGACATGTTTTGTTCTAGGTGTCGCAGCGATTCGAGCTTCTCGACATCATACGACGTCCACGTAAGGAACGAATTCTTGGCTGATCAGATAACAGGATCTCCGAACGCGACGGGATTACCAGTTTTCCGGCGACAATGTAACCCGTCCCGTGGATACGGCTAAACGGGCTTAAGGGATTAATCTTTAGTAGTCAATTTAGTAGCTGGCAGAAGTTGGATAAAGTCCGGCGCACGCAGGCTGCTCGAGCCGACGCCGCAGGAGTCGCGAGGACCGGCTCCGTGTTACCTAAGCTAACAATAATTTAATCACGTTCAATAGCGGCCGCGATTGTTGCATCGAGATTAGAATTGAAGGACGACTTAATTCGTGCGACGTCTGCAGACCGCTATCAACGTTCCCGGGGAATTAACATCTCCGTACCGCGGTGAGGGTGCACCTAATCACTGATCACCCTAGGAAGAATCTTAAGAGGATTTAGGGGCTGTGAAAACGGGACATCATCCAATTTGGTGCGCGATCGTTGAGACATCAGAATAGTAAGACAAATCAGAATTGCAGTCTTTCCGATTTTTGTTCTCTGTGGAGACCGTGGATTTTTGTATTTTTTACGAAATTGAGTATGTACCAGTTAACACGAAAGGAAGATTACCAGAATTTGAAAATAAATTAATGGAAGAGAATTTTCAAGGATCCTTTCTGTCATAGTATCATTATGGAGACCCTGTCATAGCAATCGTGCGCCATTAAATCACGTTCAGTAACTCAATCTTATCGGTTCTTCGACGAACATTATTTGAAATATATGTTCCTTTTTGCTGCAGCATTATCATCGAAGATGTTATTGATATGCTCCTCTCGCTCAAGATAGTCTGAGTATCCCAAATCGTACTACTTAGAAAAAACATTACAATTTATTGGTACAATTTGGGAGGTACAATTTGGGAAATTCTATTTAACAAAATCAATATAACCTACAAAAGAATTGCAATTGTTATATAAAACAAATGTAGATAATCCTGTTGTATGCAATCCTATTAAATCGATTAATCAAAGTAACTTAGTAACCGACAGCAAAATGTCATAATTTGGTTAATATTTGCCATATGACTATACCCAAAACATACATTGTACTCACCTGATTTTCAACAAACGGAAACAAACTTAACGGCATTGAATTTTTGCCCACGCCTACAAACTGGTAATTAAGTTTATATTACTGCCTCTAAATGCTACTAATGTACAATAATTCGACAGAAATATAGGAGGTACGATTTACTGGACCCCAGTACGAATTAGGCAACTTTGCCTTACCACGTCGAATCGAATACTGTGTACACCATAGTGACAACCATCGCCTAGGTTCTTCCAGGCTGTCTTCCAGGGTCGAACGACCTCAGAGAAACCAAACAGCTCCATTCAGAAAAACGCAACATCATCCCGGCACCTTTGAGTTATTAATTTCCGAGGAAGAGTCCCCTTAGGCAAAGTTCGCCCCTTGTCTCGTCTAATTCCGATCGAAAGATTTTATTGCCTCTTCGATAGTTCCGAAACAATCTTCATATAGCTCGGCAGCCCCTGTGATCCGGCCAAGTTTCGCGTCAATCTAGAGACTGGGAACTTCGGGGTATAAAAATGAAAGGAGATAGTTGGTCGCTTGGGCCGCGTACCGAGGCCGTTCTCGAAGCGCGAGTCTCTCGGCAGCGGGATTCCTGTATTCAGCGAGATAATCTCGGCCGTTGCCCCGTAACTTATTGTTCCTTTCATCGTCCGGCGATAATTAGGGGCGTAATATCGGCGCCGATATCGCTTATCGTGGAAATGATCCCGACAATGAGCGATTTATGGGACTGCGCGGAGTCGCCGTGGACGGCCAGCGATCACCAGGGCCCCGGCATAAAAGATCCCATACACAGCGCGTGTCCATTGTATCGCGTGCCTCCAGAGACAAAGACCGATTACCGTGGGCGGCGGGTGACTTCGCGGGAAATATTATTCGCGGTGAAAATGCGCCGGGTCCGCCATTGTGCCCCGGCTCTGACGCAGAAATGAAAAAGAGGAAAAACCGGCGCCCCTCCCCCCCGTTTCCTCTTCCGGCGCCCACCAACGTCGGTTATCGTTTGTAATACTTCGGTCTAGCCCGAACGTGCGACGAAGAACACCGAGATAGAGGAAAGATGGCCGAGATCGCCGTAGGAGGTGGACGAGGGGGGTGGGGGAGGCTCGGTTCCTTCCGTAACGCAGTAAATCGATTTCCTATTATCAAGCCATTCTTCCCTATAAAGGAACCGAGTAGATAGATTATCCGCGGCATTATCAAACCGTTCTTTTTTATGGCCGGCAGTAATGGGTCCCCGGAACCAATGACACGCTCCATTCTTGGCTTTACAACGCCCTGTGACTACGCACTATCTTCGACTTCGAAGGACACCACGCGTCACGCATAGGCGTAAACAACGCTCCTAGCCGATCCGCCCGTTTGATGGGAAGATCGTGACTCGAGGGGTTGCCGGAGATAATTAGTTCGTTGGCAGACGGACGCGGAGTTTCCCGACCTGAGGAAGGCGGGTGGTCCGCGCCGATCCTGATTGACTGATCAGTTTCTGCCGTGCTGAGCAACATTTCGCAACGGGTTCAAAATTAGGTTGCTAGATTTTATTTTTCGATTACACGTCGAGCAATTTTTCTGAACGAATTACACGTCTTTTCAGCAACAGTGGTTTCCCAAAGGAATGCTCTCGAAGAAGAAATTTAATTGGTCGTTTGATCTAGCTGAAGAAAAAAATCATCTACAGAAAAGAAAAAATGGTCTAAGTCATGTTGCGAAAAATGTCGAGGTCGTCGACTATCTTCTGAAATGAATAGCATTGTAACGAGTTAAATGCAAACATTAATCAAGATTTATCTAAATAAAATCTTTTTGTCGCATATATTTCAAGCATCGTGTCTTTTGGAAAGAAAATTTGTTTCGAACAAGTCGACGTAAAGATTTTCGATGTAAAATCTTCTTGTTGCATATTATTCTGAGAATGATTTCTCTGGTCATGTTTGAAACGAATAAAGAATAACGAAATAATTCATCATCTGAGATCGCTATTATTTCAATTATTTCATTACTTTTATGTTCAAATAACAACGACGAAAATAACGATTCGAAATGAATTATTTCACATAGTTTCTTCTTATTTTCATTTCAAATCAAATTTGTCCAAGTCCGTTTAAGATTAATATCGATATGAGCGACCGAAACATATTTGGAGGCCCATGGGGGTGGCATTTACGACCAGCCGGTAGAATGGCAGAGGGGAAGAGAAACTGGCGTGGAAAGGACAATTCATCGTCTCGATCGAGTGAAAAATTCGGTCGGGGTGATCGCGGCTTCAAATCCGGGCAATGTTCGCGGCCTGGCGTGAAATTACGGGACCGTTTTCCCGGCGCGAGATCATCCCCTCTGACCTCTAGTCACTACATTAAGCTTATCCGTCAGCGTTTCGCCCGGAGAGGGACGAAACGTCTCGACGTCGCGACGGGCGAAATCGACGAGAGACACGCGTGCACGCCGCGCCGCGTCGGTCGTCGTTCACCGTCCTCGACAGTTCATTGAACGCGAGATCGTTTCTCCTCGAGCAACCACCGACCATTGCGGCCTGTTCAACCAGCAAAACATGTAGATAGTCCTCGACGGAGCCGCGAGAAACCCATCCCCCCCGACACAGGCGCAGACTCTCCGAAGGAAGATCTCCGTGGAAAAAGGGAAACGCGAAGTCGCGCTGGGAGACTCGAGGAAAATTTTCTAACAAAGCGGAGCTCGCCCGGGATCTCCCTGGTGCCGGGACTGTTTGAACACGAAACTGGTTAAATATTTAGAAAAGACTCAACATCGGTATAAATTGTACCGGTGCTACGGTCGTCCCGTAAGCTCGTCCTTTTTCTAATTGACCTAATTGTCCCGCTCGAATAATGCCGCGGATTAATCAGTCGTGATAAATTTTATGAGAAATTGGAACAGTAATTATTCTTTGCGGATTATAATGTGTTGGTGATATAGCTATTTTACGTATTTTCGGTAATATTTTGGTAATATTTTCCATCATATTTTGTTTCAAATAATCCAAACATATTTTTGGTTTAAGTTGTAGGTGCTGCAATATTTTTCACGCGGACGAGCAGCCTGAAATTCATTTCGACGCAAATAGGCGTCATCGGTAGTAATCGTGATAACCAGTTGTCCATAAAATATTTTACCGATACCAGGATTATTACTGCCAGATTTTTAGTGTTTTTGCTTAGTGTTCGGAAGTCGTTTATCAAAATTAAATCCAGGAGCATCGCGTATCACGGTATACGTTCTCGAATTTAAATGTATCATACAGAACTCGATCATTCAGTTTACACAGTCTAATGTACAAAAATGGTACATGATGTTGACTACAACAATTGAAAAATTCATGTGGAAACAGCACGGTTTGCAGTGATTAACAGCGCCCGTCTTGAGCCTTCGATACCCGCAAACGCAGATTTACTGCGAAAAAAACGCAATAGCCAGCACGGATTTGGTTTATTAGCAACGCATTAACGAGCGCCGTACAATGCGCTGTCGCAGACGCGTACCTTTTGTAACTCCGTTTTAACGGCGGCCACCGTGCCGCGTGAAATATGCTTGACCCGTTGGGGCCCGTCATTCAAACAGCTTTCAGCGAATTAATTTTTACGGGATTTCATTCGGACGACGAGACATTTAAACGACCGGCAATCGGTGAAACGTGGACATAATTTAAAACAATGTTATTTTTGTTCGCGAATCACCGATCGACGTTATAACCAGGGAATCTGTCGTCGCACGGTGTTACGAATCGTCAATCTAGTTGGACGAAATTCGAAACGAACGATTTTACTACGTTCATTAATTCGCATAAGTAGAACCGTATCAGGTATGAGCAATAATCATACTTTTGCCAGTATTAATCGGCTTTCGTTGGCTAAATAAAATTTCGTTGGCTATTTCTAATAAAATTATAAAATTATCGCTAATAGTTGAGATTTGAGTTGTTATAGTTTGATAAAAAAAAAAATTATACGACGGTAAATCTGAACTCATTTTAAAGCTTCGAGCCTCTATTTTCGTTATCCATCGTTTATTTCCTTCTAAAATATTTTTACATGGAACAGCAAGTAGGGAACTGATAATACGATTTTCGTGGAAAATGGTGTAAAATGGAACGTCACCAAAAATATTGGAAAATTCTCGTCATTAACGAATATTCGATAGACACGAGCATCGAAGCTTAATTTCCTACAACGTTCCCTTAAAACCTGTTTTTCATCGTTTCACTGAGTTCTCCGTGGCGACTGTCCTGTCAACTGTACAACAATCTAAAGTCTCCGGCAATGCTGACAACAGAAATTAGAAAATGCGGCGGTGATTGCAAAAAAAAAAGAACGATCATATCTACGCGAACGTCGATCGATCGAACGTGGCAATCGCCGGGGAAGCATGGTCGTTCCCGTCCATGGATCGACCGACCACGGCTTGTCTGCTCGCATTCTTCGAGCATGTCACGCGCGATTTTGATTTTCGCTGCTCGACGTACGGTCGTGCCTGCGTCTCTGCCGCCAGCCGCGCCACGTATTGAATAACATTCCTTTCAGCGAGACCGGGAAATCGAGTTACGCTTATAAATTTCCCCTCATAA